GCTGAAGGAATTGGGTTTGTTTAGTTTAGAAAAGAGAAGATTGAGGGGGGACATGATAGCAGTTTTCAGGTATCTAAAAGGGTGTCATAAGGAGGAGGGAGAAAACTTGCTCATCTTGGCCTCTGAGGGTAGAGCAAGCAGCAATGGGCTTAAACTGCAACACGGGAGGTTTAGGTTGGACATTAGGAAAAAGTTCCTGTCAGGGCAGTCAAACACTGGAATAAATTGCCCAGGGGGGTTGTGGAATACCCCATCTCTGGAGATATTTAAGAGTAGGTTAGATAAATGTCTAACAGGGATGGTCTAGACAGTATTTGGTCCTGCCATGAGGGCAGAGGACTGGACTTGATGACCTCTTGAGGTCCCTTCCAGTCCTAGTATTCTATGATGCTTTCTCCAACTGATCATATGCTACAGTACTTGTTTTGATTTATGCCATGTTTAGGATACAAAGACCAATTGCATTTTACAGTATCTTAAGGACCAAGACGTGAGCTTAGATCAGTGATTCTCAAAAAGGTATATTCATACATCTGGGAGTACACAGAGGTACATCAACCCAGCTAAGTATTTGCTTAGTTTTACAAAAGGTTATATGAAAAGCACAAGTCAGTACAAGCAAAAATTTCATACAGACAATGGCTTGGTTATCCTACTCTACATACTATCACCGTCTCAACTACAGGGCCATGATTTATTTTATAATTATATGAAAATATGATCAAGCAACTTTTCATTAAGCGTGCTGTGACACTTATGTATTTGTAGGTCTTATTTTGGAACCTAGTTTAACAGATGTGAAACTTGGGGTTACAAGACAAATCAAACTCCTGACAGGGGTATGGTAATCTGGAAAAGTTGAGAACTATTGGCTTACATAAAATCTCTGCTAATACATTTTTCAGACCTAGGAATTAGAAGTAACATTTCTGTGGAGTCCTTGAAAAGTCAAGAATTAAAAGCTCTTCCCCTAAGTTAGCTAGAAATAATTCAAACTAGAATGCATCCCCTAATGTCTCATGCTGGGAGTTCCTGGATACCCCATGCTTCCCATAACGTATTGAGCTTCCATGCCTTATCCCTGCGCATAATCCTGTCCTCTTTTCTCAAGAGGCATCCCAACACAGGGCTACCAATCCCACAGCTAGTCAAAACAGGAGTATAAAGTTTTTGTACTCAAATGTTGTGTCAATGTTCAAAGAGGCAATACGCACTTCTGATGCCAGGTATGCTATAGAAGGTTCAATATTTCATTAAAAATGCCAGGAAGGTACTGACAGGGCCTATTTATGGCTACAGCTACTAGTCCCAAGAGTTCATTTTCTACAACTGAGTATGCATCTTAGAGAAGCTAAAAAGGGCCCTGTGGAGTAATTATTGCACCTTGCAGTAAATACAGTAAACTTCGGATAATCCGGCACCTTTAGTACCCAGGGGGTGCCAGATTATCAAATATGTCGGACTATTGGAAGGGGGGGGCTATGCGGGTCTGGGGTAGGGTGGGGGGGATGCCACCCCAGACCCCTCATAGTCCCCCCTTCCGATAGTCCGGCTCTGCCCAAGGCGTCCCTGATTCAGGCGCTGCTGGTCAGTTTCAGCAGTGGCTGAATTGGGGACGTCTGGGGCAGAGCAGCTGGGGTGCTGCCGGGTTGGTCCCGCAGCCCCGAGGGGCAGCGCTATGGGACCAACCCAGCAGCACCCCAGTTGCTCTGGCCCCGGCTTCCCCTATTCAGCTGCTGGTCAGAGGGACAGCTGGGCGCAGAGCAGCTCCAATTGTCCAGCAGCCGGAGCACTTCCGGGTTCCTGATGGTGCCGAACCATCAGGAGTGCCAGAGCACTGGATGCCGGACCAATGGAGTTTTACTATATAGTCTCCCTTTCAACCAAGCCATTTTTAACAGGCTGAAACAGAGCCTGCAGAGTTAAGGCAAAAGCAATAGAGTTCCATCTAGAGGAAAAGGGACTCTAAGGATCCTATCTCACAGGAGACAGAGCTAAAATGTCTCTTCCTATCCTCTGTAGAGGATAATCAGACAGTGGGAAAGAAGCATGCAGAGCTTTGAATGTGTTCATCACAGAGAATTATGTAGGCAGTTTAGAGTACGTCCTCTATTGAAGAGAAGACTTCACACTGATTTTTGCAAGGCTCAGACTTCATCTTATCAAATGCACACTACCACCCAGCATATTACATGTCTAGACCAAACAGCTCTTGCCTCCAAAAGCTTGAGCAATACTCTGCACAAGGACAGCGTTCAAGTTAAGTTTCACTGCCTCAAAAGGGATTTTGAGCTAAAGGTTACATTTTCATATCTGAGGCTTTGAAGGAATCCTCCATGCCATGCTGAGGGAGCTACTAACAAAAAGAGAAACAAGAATTACACAAAAGTCTGTCAGAGGCAATTAAACAGTCCCTATTTTCAAGTTAAAAACCTGTGACTCTTAAAGGGAATTTAAGGCAAGAGGGGACCATTACGATAATTCTATATAGAGGTGATCTATGTAGAAATGGACATAGAATGTCACCTAGTAATTCCTCCATCATTCTGAATTTTCTGGTTAAGTTTGAATATATTTTTTGAAAGACCTCCCTTCTTGATTTAACAGAATCAAGTGCCAGAGAATCCACCACACTCCCAATAAAGCAATTCACTGTTAAGAATGTGCATCTAATTATCTAACCTGAATTTATCGAGCTGCTATAATTCCAGTCTAAACTGATTTATTTCTACAGCATCAGCCCTTCCACAGCATTCTAAGAGCTCCCATCTTTTGGATCTTTCTAAGAAGAGGTTAGACGTAGAAGGCAGGCTCTGACTCCCCACAGTACAATTCCATTCTACAAAAGCCAGAGGATGCCTCCTACAGATCTTATTATGGTGTTGACCAATTAGTGCCCTACCCTAGCTGCACACAACAGAAAGCCCAGGGTGACCTGATCTCATCACCTGTTGCGAATATGCTCTCTCCCCTCTATTCTTATGCAGCTGGACTCACCAGAATTGAATGCAGTATTCTAGAATATATTAGGGATGTGAACAGGTAACCAGTTTATTGGTTACCCAGAAAGCATCACTTTTAATGGGTGATGCGTAATGGTTAACCATTACCTGGGAGCACCCCACCATGGATGGAGAGCTGCTCCAGCCCCACATTGCTGCCACCTCCCCAGCCGGTGTGGGCTGGGAGTCAGCATCCTCATGAGCCAGAAGGTGGGGGCTCATGGCCCCATGGGAGGCTGCCAACTCCCAACTTGCGCACGCTGAGAGCTGGCAGCCTAGTACAGGCCTTGAAGCAGACAGGCTAAAGCAGCTCCTGCCCATAGCTGCCCCGTTTAATCAGTTAACCGGTTAAACTTAATATTTAACCAGTTATCTAAATGGAATTTTACATCCTAACATACATGGCAGCACATGTCCAATACTCTCCATCCCTTACTTTAGAGCAGTGGTTTCCAACCTTTTTAAGCACAAGGTCACTTTCTGAATTTGTGAAATCCAGGATCTACCTCAAACCCAAATACCTTTGTCCCACCTACACTCCAAGCTCCTGCTCTACCACTTCAGAGGCCCTGCCCTGATTACTCCATTCCCTCTCCCATCCTCACTCCCTTTCACCAAGCTGAAGCAGACAGTTGGAGTGCAGAAGGATGGAGACTCTGGTCCAGGGCCAAGAGGTCTGGGGTATGGTAAGGGCTCCAGGCTGAGCCTGGGGGAGAGGTTAGGGTGCAGGAAGGAGTTCAGGTCTGGGGTTCAAGGATATGGGCTGGGCACTGCTTACCACAGGCACCTCCCAGATAGTGGTGAATCACCCCTACCCTGGCCCTGCACCACTCCTGAAAGCGGTCAGCATGTCCAGCAGCAGTTCCTTGGGAGTGGAGAGAGGGGCAGAGCCTCATCATCCCTAACATCAGTGCCCCCCTCCACAGCAAGCAGAAGGCTCAGGGAGGGAGGGGCAGCTCCAAGGCAGAGGGCAGGAGGAACATGGCAGTGCAGGGAGGCCCAGCCAAACCTGTCAAGATCACCGATCAAAGACTCCAGGATATACCAGTAGATCCCAATCTACTGGTTGGTGACCACCACTTTATTGAGCAAAAGTAGTTGGTTACATTCATATGAGGAGTTTGGTCTTTTTAATTAGTGGAAGAACTTGCAATTAATCTTTTCTGGCTTCCATGTTTTATCTTGAATTAACACCTTACTGTAAGCCCCTTAGTTTTTGCCAAGTCTTCCGCAGCAGACTTCCACACTTCTAGAATCATCAATATTGTACCAACACAAACAAGAAGCCACCCTTGCCGAGACAGCACACTGCCCATTATTTCAGCCAGTTTAAGTAAGTACAAAAGGAAAAATCCCTAGGTTTCTTCATCAAACCTAGAGAAGAAAAATTAACAGATTTGACTAGGATCCCATATGTGGGTATCGTGTAGATAACAATAGGGACTATGTTCACTAACCACAGACTGTTTCACTTCAGTGTCATGGCTAAACTACGAGCATGCTACCATTTTTTTATATATAAATTAGTCACCACAGACTGTTTCACTTCAGTGTCATGGCCAAACTACGAGCATACTACCATTTCTTTATATATAAATTAGAGATGTAAAAGCTTATTGGTTAACCGTTTAAATGGTTATATGCAGGCTCAAGCCCATAAGCCTGCATATAACCAGGCTGTCACCGCCATGCTGCTGGCTCTGTATGAGAACCAGCCACATGGGAGTGGCAGCCAGCTCCCCAGAAGCAGGGCTGCAGGTGGGCACCAGTGCATGCCCGGAACTGGCTGCCATCCCACGCTTTGAGTGTGGATAACCATGTAGCTGCTGTGATTTTAAGTGGCTACACAATTACCCACTTTTTAAAATCCCTAATAGAAATAATCAATTAATTCCATTTTGATATTTAAAAGGCAAGATATGTGGTTACAAGCCCAGAGATCTACAGATCAAACTGAATGTATTTTAAAAGCTGAAAAACAACTGGAGAGAACCATACCTGCAGGCAGGACAACCTCCAACCACTACAACAGAGGTGGTGGTAGCTGGCTGCTGAATGATGGTGTACATGTTGGGATAATTATGCTGTGATGGCAGTGGTGCAACATATCCTAGAACAAAGAGAAATGTAAGTGAACCTCTGGTCATAAAGTACACAATGATTCTTTAAACAATGGCAACTTGTGGAAAGGTAAGTTTCATTTTCCACAACAGAAAGACATTTGATATCATAAGGCCAATTCGACACTAGAAATAGTAGTAGACCATTTGTTGTTTTTTAAGTTTATCCTGTACAGACTAACTTGGCTAACCAGTGAAGCTTCTTTGCCATTATAAAACCATCTTGTTAAGTCTTTAAAGTTCTACATAGTCCTGTATTTTGTTTCAGCTACACCAGACTAACACGGCTACATTTCTATCACTATTTGCCATTATAGTTATTCTATACCAGCAAAGAGCTCTTGGTGCATACTTATCTTCTACCAACAAAACTGCGTTTTATAGCTTATTCCACCCACTACATTCTTACCCTGGAAACAAAACAAGACATACAAACAAAAACACAGTTTTGTTTGTTTAGCCATGCATACATCTGTAGTAAAAACCCATAGCGTAACCGGATAATCACTTACATGGTTAACTGATAAGCCTGGGCTTATCCATTTCAGTGCATAGTTACATGCAGGTTCCCACCCCACGCTGCTGCTTCTCTATCAGAGCCCACAACATGGGGTGGCAGCTGGCTCCCTGGGAGCTGAACCAGCAGGCAGAAGCCGGTAGACATCAAATCCAGGAGAGCCAGCTGCCACCCCACGGTATTGCCTCGGATACGGAGGCAGCAGTGGTATGCACGGTCTCCCAAGGAGCTGGCTGTGGGAGCGTATAACTGCTGAAGTTTTGAGCAGTTACATGGTTACCCAATTACCCACTTTTTAATATCCCTAGTTTATCAGCACAGCTACCTCAGTCAGAAATCACATCATCTCTCCCCTCCCACCCACCTCACCCCCTGCAATCCAGACAACATAGTTAAGTTGGTAGAAGTCTACAGTGCAGATATGGCCCAGGATTTACTTAAACAAAGCAGTGGAATATAATCTGAATAAGATACTTCAAAAATACATTGTGTGACAGGTCTGTGGCTCCAAAGGGATATTGCTCAGGAGCTAGGAGCTTAAAACAGAAGTAGAGTTGAAACAAATCCTTCTGAAGAGGAAATGCTAGTAGCGTGTCTATTCACAAAATGTTTCACAAGTTGGACTAATACAATTTCACAGTCTAAAAATGTAGGTAAAACTAATAATTAAATTCAAAGACTCTGTGTTAACGTTACTAAAGGAAAAAAAAATTAACTGAGCGAGGATCACAATGTTCAGTTCTGAGGGTTATTTCTCTTATCTACCCCACTGAAGTATCCCAACTGGTGGAGACAGGATAAGGATTTCTTTGGCTACAAACCTGACAACTTCCACATAGTTATGGTTTAATACCTGAGTTCAAACCTCTCTAGTCCAGGAACAGCCCTCGTCTGACATGATTTTAATTACCCGGATGTCCACTATTCAGGAATTCTCATACATTTTCTTACCACTGCTTCTTTCTCTCTCTACCCCTGCTATTACATATTACAGGTTGAGGGTGCCAGACTAAAGAGTTCAACCTGTGATATGCAATAGCAGGGGTAGAGAGAAAGAAGCAGTGGTAAGAAAATGTATGGGAATTCCTGAATACAGAGAAAGAAACTGGCTTGGAAGACAAAACATAGCCATCAAACTTGTGTGTGTTCTGTTTTAATAACTGTTTAGAAAGCATAAACTATTTTACAAATCATTACCACAGGAGCCTCAGAAATGCAATGACAACAATTACAATGCGAGAGATTATGCCATGATATAGCCCAGCTTCTCTATTTGGCAGGATATTGTGACACCAGAGGATGAGGCTCCTTACACCAGACAAGTTAAAATGTTTTGGGGGAGTTTCTCCACTAATAAGATCATCATATTTAATTTAAGTATTTGTAAAAAATCCATTAAGCACACTAGTAGAGAAAAAGTACAAAATAATTCTTGGGGTTTTTTGGATGAGTGTGCTCTGATTTACAGAGTAAATGGTAAACAAATACCTATAATCCCAAACCTAAAAATGGATCCTTAATTTTAATGCATTGTGAATAGTCCCTTTAAAGTCACTTGGGACAACTCACACAATGCCTGAAGAATGTGCTTAGGGTTACCAGTAAGTATCTATTGGAAGCACTAGTTTTCCTTTCTAAACCATTTGTTAAATGTTAGAGAATTTTTCCTTTCAATTTAGAAGTTACAAGTAGTTGAGTTTTGCTTCAACTAGATACCAGTCAGTAATTTCATAGTCAACAGGTTACACTAACTACTGAAATCTCTCTAGAACCATGTGCTTACATTAGAAAAAGACGCACAACATTTAATTAGGGGAACAAGGGGACTGTGTTCATGATAAAGTACAGCTTTGGGAAGAGAAAGTCAAACTCCAAGTGCCAACATGTGCATCTCTATAACAAGGCCTGATAATTCCATCCCTCTTCAAAACAGCAGCAGTACAGTATCTCAGCTAATACAGGCAGGTAAATAAGAAAAGCACATGTTTTGCCCTAAAAAAGCAGTAGTCAGCGGGGGGAGGGGGGGGAGAGAAAAGGGAGGAGCTTTTTATAACATCTGGCACCCCATCAGCTTGTTTTCTACTCCAGCTTAAGTATTAACCAAGCTACTAAGGACAATGTAGCATAAGGTGTTTACAGGTAAAAGGCACACCGCAATTCAGCAAAGCAACCTTCTCCTGCTACCACCCGACACCGTGGTTTTATACACAAGCAGCTAGGTGTGGCTTTAGCAGGCCACTCAACTTTTTCCACGAGAGCTCGTGTCTCCAGCAACCAGCCGTTGCACTGGCATGGCCAGATAGGCTGATTCTTACGACTTGACCAGAAGAGCTGACTCGAGTGGCAAGTCCAGCAAAGGAGAAAGAGGGGCGGCTTCTCCCGAGTTGCGGTGGCGGCTGGAACACAGCACTTCCCGGGCTCGGGATTTCATGTGGGGAGGCAGAGGAGAGGATGTGCTGGCTCGCGAGGCTCTAGTAACCCGCTTCCCCCTCGCCACATGAGTTTTCCCCGCTCAACAAGAGCCGCCAGGAAGCCCCCTTGCGCGCACACGCACCCACACCCGTGAGCACGGACCCCGCACCGAGCTCGCCCCGGGGCTGGCACACGGCATCTCGCAGAGTCCCGCAAAGTTTGTTTGGCTTCCCGCATCCCCCACCCCTCCCGGCGCAGAGCCGGGGCGCCCCACACGGGG